TTAAAATATTTGATAACAGGTTTGGCACAGTCACCAACCCATCTGAATGGCCACTGGGTCTGCATACCTGGTTGAACAGGTATGTTCGGAGGTTGATGAGGAGATAAAATCATACTGGATAGACCACATACTCCTTCAGGTGAGAATATGTATTGAATTGATCTCTGTAGCATCCAAATTTTTAACACAGTGTATTGTCTATAACAGACACACTCATATTTAGCACTAATCAACTTTGGATATATAAGAAAGATATATATTGATAAATATAGGGCAGCAAGCTCACATATTTGCAGAGTAAGTTGTTGGATGCCCTAATAACAGCTGTTATGTTCTAATTGGGGACCTTCATAGTGGTTTTATATTTTTTCCCTCAAGGGCCACTTTTTAAAAAAACTGAGTTGAATAGGAGAAAAAAGGGAAATTAAATGTATATTTTAAATAGAGCACTAGGATATTCCAATCTACATACCTTTAAAGGGATATTTATCATTTACTCCATTCATTTTCCCTATCTAGTATGAGAAAATACTTAGAGAAAATAATTTAAAAAAATATTTTTGTGTGTGTGTTTTTCTTGAACAAGATAGAGAACTCCAATTCTGAGGCCTAGACTTTTTATCATTTTAATGCAGGAAGTCATTTCTGTTCCATATATGTATTGTCTACTTTGCAAAATGTGGTTATTCACCTAAAAAGGACCAAAACTAATCAGTCTTAGAACTAAAAACGATATTGAAATGTCAGTTTAAATGAGATTGTTGTGGTCATCACAGATTTACATTATTTCTACATAAATTGTTATGCTTTTTAAAAACAAAACCCCACAACATTTCCAGTAAAATATTGAATCGAATCTTGCCTTCTGTTCCCTCTTTCCCCTTAGGTTAGCATTAAGATGACAAGTTTCCCACACTCAATTATTTGAAGAGGTTTGAGAGTAGAGCTTAGCATATTTTTATAATGGTAGAAGTTTCTTTGTTCTGGCCCATTGAGAATGGAAACTGAGTGATTAATTTCAAGCTTCAAAAGATACTCAAGAAAATAAATGATTTATTAGGGTCATTTGTTCTTTAAAGGCATATAGCCAAGAAAATGAAACCTCATAGAAAGTTGTGATTGTAGTGTTTGCTAAAGTTTTAGAACAATTGGTTGAGGAGAATATTGATTCAAGGCAGTTACTACATGAATGCCCACTGACAAAGAATAACACTATTAAATACATTTAACCAATGGGGGAAAAGAAAGTAGGACAGGGTTAGATAGCTTATCTTAAGGGTGTAATTAGAGGTTTTTAATGTAAATTGGGAAAACACTTGTCTCTACAATTCGAAAATCTAATTGGTTTGATCTCAGTCTCTAAGAAAAGTGGTGATTATAAAGCTCTTTGAACAAGTGCATGGTATTTTATCAATCCTGAATATTACTCCTTTGGATAGGATCCAAAGGGCTCTATCTCATATCCACTTCTAATTTAATAATAGCTACAACTTAAAGGGTGTTAACCATGTGCCAAACAGAGTACTTATTTATACTTTACATTATGCATTTAAATTGTGGAAATTCAACTAATGTAGAGATAGTCTAAAAGAGTGTTGCTATTTTTTACTACAACTTAGGTCAGAAACACAGGAACTTTAATAGACCTCACATTCTGACCCATTGAATTAATCTCATGCTGGGATTAAAATTTATGAGTCATTGCTATAAAGGAGATAAACCATTATTAGAGAAAACGACTTAATGGAAAATTGATTTTTTTCAAAAAATCATAAGCCAGAATAAGTTGACTTGCTTAATAAGTACAAGGACTACTTTTTAAAATGGCTATTATTTAGCATGAAAAAAGTCAATAACATGCAAAACAGAAAATTTCGACCTCATAAAACATTATCTTTTGCATTCTGCCCACTAAAATGCCAAAACAAGAATAAAAATTTTATGAGAACAAACTGTCTAAAAGTGATTACTTAAAATCTATGATATACTTTGGATTAAAGTATGCTGTCCTAGAGCAAATCTTTGCAGTTCAATTTCCCTTAGAGTGGATCAAGGGGATCATAAAACAAAGTGCATAAATGAATAATATGAAATACTTAAGATGAAGTAGAACATTGCAATTATAAACTTCAAGATTAAAAGAAAGGTGAAATTAAGTAGCAACAATTGCACATCAATTGCTTCTCTATATACCTGAATTCAAGAGTAATATGAAAATCAATAGCCATTAATTTTATATATGGTTATATTGCTTATGCATTCACTCAACAAACATTCTTTAAGCAACTCTATGGGCAAGGATTTCTGCTAAGAGCTGGGATACAATGGTGAGTAAACCATACTTCTGGTCTGAGAGTTGTTTGGCCTTATGAAGCAGATAAGCATAGAAATAGCTAATTTAAATCAAAGAATAATGACAAAATATGCAAATTTGGTATAAATAGGTGCAAATTTTGTGAGTTGTAGAACAGCATAAAGGAAAAAGGGGGCAAAGTGGGGAAGAGAGTGAACTCATGAGTTCAGTTCAGGGCATATGTAGTTTGATGCATCTGTGGAATCTCCAGGTAAATACAGTATTGTGCTGGTTTGATGCTTATGTGCTCTCAGATGTAGTCTTCACTCTTTCCCTCACTCTCTTCTCAGAGTAGCTGCCCCCTTGGCTGTTACCATGCTCCCCTGTTAACTGGTTTCCAGATGGATTTGATCAGGCACTGGCAGAGATTGCAGAATGGGAGGAAGGCACAAACCAGGATATTTCTCCCTGTCCTTGTCTGTCTCAGGATAAATTTCTGTCATCTGCTGTTACTCTTCCTTGTCTCCTGCTCCCAGCCAGAGAGGCTGGTCCCCTGCCTGTATGGACAGCAGCTTCCTCTGCTGCCTCGGTATCCCTATTCAGTTTCTCAGTTTTCATGAGTATATGCAATCAATTGCCACCCATACATTTCCTCTATTTTAAATAGTCAGAGTGATTTCTATTTTCCTGGTTGAATACCAATGCCTGGCAGATATTAACTATCTCAGTTTGAATTTCAAGGAGTTTGAGCAGTAGATTTGGGACTCATTAACATACAGGAGAGAGCTGATGAGTTTATACAGAGAGAGGGGAGGTAAAAGAATTGGTGGATTGAGAGTGAAATCCTGGGGAATGTGGCAAAAGGTAGAGCTTCTGAATGAGTCCAAAGAAAAACTGAGAATTTTGAGTACAAAAAGAAAATGTGGTATCCACTAAAGTCCATAAGGAAACTTTGGTGTCAGTTAGACCCAGCATTTGTCAGATAAGGTTTCTGAAGATAGAGAAATCAGTCACACACCTGGTAACAGACCAAAATTGAAACCTAAGTTCCTGTTTCACCATTTAGTGTCCTTGTGATACCATGCCTATAATCATTCTTTTTAATAGCCTGACATTTGGTGTCATTTTCCTGGGTTTTGATCTTGTGAGATGTTTGCACTTCAGTTTCCTTTTATGTAAAATCAGTGTATGTTATTATTTACCTCTTAGGTAATTGTAAGAATTAAATGAGATAGTACATGAAAAATTCTTAGAATAGTGTGTTAACCTAGCAAAAATACATTAGAGAAAAATAGCATGATAACCTAGCAAAAATACATTAGAGAAAATACATTAGAGATATTTAGATTATTCATATTTAGTTTATTTATATATTTAGTTTGTTTACATAAATATATTTAGGTTAATTATATTTATATATTATTTTTAATATTATATTTTTATATTATATTAATTATATATATTTTTAATATTATATTAATTTTTAAATATTAATTAAATATATTTGTATATTATATTAATTAAATATATATATATATTTATATACATTTAATAAATATATTCATAAGGAATAGAAAATAGGATTATAATTTGGAATATACACCATGGCAAACCACAAAGGCAATTAAGTGAGGGAAGGGTAAGAGACAGTGTTTGTTGGCAAGAAGAGAGGTTCACTCAAGCTGCTTGGAAACAGAGTTCATTAATTTCAGAGGCTCAGAGTCAGATTTGCCATCATTGGTTCATTGGTTGAGATTCTGACACTGGGCAATTTCTTCTTAGAGCATCTTATCTGACTTAGTGCAATTCTAAGGAATGTCTAATGATAAACTTTGTCCCAGAAACGTGCTTATGTGCAAAGGAGGAGATGTGAGGATTGAAAGACTAGGAGGGATTTCTGATGGGTTTTTAGAAGGTCCTTGAAAATATTTTCTATCTCAAACTATCATAAACTCCCTCCTTCATGCCTTTCTCAGCTCTGGGTTTGACAAAAAGCATTTTAATCAACTTTTGCAAGTGTAAAGTACTCAGAATAGTTAACATTATTGAGAGGTTGGTGCAATTTATGAGGGGTAACAAAGCTACCAGATTTTATCACAGTATTATAAAAGATAAACTATCCATTGTACAGGATATAGATACTCTTATTATGTGTTTGCTAAAGTTAAGAATTTTTTTTTGCATTTTGTAATAATTTACTCTGTTTAATAAGACAAATTTAATTTCAAATTTGGTTTTTACTTTAGAAGTTAGTTCAATAGCTAATTTTTCCATAAAATGATTTTTACGTCACTAGTTTCTTCTCAGCTTCATCTACTGGAGAATTTCCATGGACACAAATGACATTGCATGATTGATTTTCTACTTGCACGATACTTTAAACAAAACATTTTGAAAAACTTCAATAAGATACTTTTTCCCAGAGAGAGCCCTCTGAGTCTCTTTGCTATCCCCTTCACATTCTTATTTCTCTTTTAAATTTTCAGCATCTCAAGGTTCTTAAATATTAAATATAAATGAGGAAATTGGGAAATTGTTAAATGAATACAAAGTCATTCTCAGTTAATGTATAATGATGACTTACTACCTAGTGTTTTGTCATTAGTACTTAGACATTTACATTCATGTTAAAAGAAAAATAAATCACTGCATGTATAGTATAGTGTGCAGATTCAACCAAAATTCAATATTGTAAATTTTATCTTACCTTCAGTATCTGCTAGTCCTACTCCCACTCCTGGCTGTTTTACAGGTTCTTGTCCATTCTGTCCCGTCTTTCCTCTGTTTAAAAAAATAAATTGATTGTAAAAAAATAAAATAGTACATTCAGTTTTGATCTCCTAAATGCAAATAAGGAGGCTAAGTATGCTAAAATAAAGTGACATTACATATTTAGACCTGCAATAAATTATTTGAATGGCCAATATACACACAGTTAATTGCTCTACATCACATTAATTTTAAAATAGGAACTTATTATTCTTATTTAGTCCAAATATAATAGCTCCAAATTCAGGAAGTCTTATTTGTGGACTCATTTATCAAAACATCAGGTCGCTGTAATATTTTCAAATTTCATTTTAGAATTCTTTTTCCATTTTTCAACTCAATAGTGAGAAGGGGATTATTGAATTAACATATAAAAATAATATTATAATAACAGAGATTTTTTATTTCGTTTAGTGATTTTTTTTTTTTCAGATTCTTCCTGTGTTTTTAGCTGTATTGAGTTAACTGTCTTTTGAAGTCACACTTTTTGGGTGTCTGCTTCTGACTTTGCTATTTCTTGCTCTGTGCCTTCTAAGACAAAGTACCTACCTGGTCAAGATAGTTTCTTCTTTTGTAATATAAGGATAGTAGTAATAGCTACCTTTTGATTACAAGAAAATAAAGTGGAAAATGTATTATAGAAAGAAATGTATTATTATACATTTAATGTTTAATGCTTACAATCTCTCAGATTTAATGCCTGAGCGATTGTAAGCATTCAATAAATAGGTACTTCAAAAAGTCTGTGGAAAATAAAATTAAAAGATAAAATGAATCTTTCCATGAACTTTTTCAAGACCCCTTGTATAATGTATTAATAGGTAGGTATGCACATAATAGTTTTAGAATTCAGTCAAAATCTGCTACTCACTTAATTTTGTCCTCAAACTTTTTGGAAAGCCAAGTTGATGAAAAATTCATGATACTTTGAGCATTGTGAATTTAGAATGTCTATAATGTAACAGGCAAAAGACCGTAGGCCACTTATTTCTTCAGCCAAAGGAAGAGCTATATGGCATACAAAAGGTTTGGAATTGCCTTAATGTGTACTTAGAAAGATGTTCTAAAAAGATGGAATAAAAACTTGTAAATGTTAGAAAAGGATGCTTGAACAAAAGAATGTCTTGGTACTGTACTTTCCAGACAATAATTGTAACATAGTGGGATTTTCTAACAATGAATTCTGACTTTGGCAAACAGTATTTGGTTTGCTGGACGTGCTGAAATGTAACCATACTTATTTCTTAAGAATCCAATTATATCTTTAAAAAATGCTCTAATGATTCTCTTATCATTCTATTCCAGAGAAGATGCTAAAATGTTTCTGCACATGATAAAAAGAGGAACAGATGTAAATACATAAAATTAATTTATCTTGAAGCCATTACATTGACTCATTATGGCAATTTAAGTCAAAAGTTTAAGCACAAATTTTTAGTAAGTCATGATGTGAGGGACAAAGTGCATGCAAATTATATAATTTCTAACATTTTTATAATAATACACTTATGTATATATACATATATGTGTATATATATACACACATCTTTACATTGTTATATAAATCTTCGTATTATTATACATTTATGTATATATGTACAAATCTTTATATTACCATATCAATCTTTCCATGAATTTTTTGAAGTGCCATTGTGTATACTCGTATATACCACATATATACCTGTATATGGTCTGCATCTGAACTTGTAAAGAATTCTGTTTAAGCAATGGACAAAACTTCAATTTGTGTAATTGCTTCATTGAGATTCAAGAAAGTGGCTGCTCTATCAGTTACTGTTAGAGAGGAAGAAAATCTTAAAAAACCTAGCAGCAGTCTTACCTTTAGTAGTATACTATGCTGGCAGAGTGAGCCAAAACATATCTTGATACTGAGCCAAACTCAATTGAAAAATGAGGGTCTTTTAGTATGGCTAATCTAGCAGATCAAAGTACTGAAAAATGAGTATCCTTATACCATGCCAAACTTTAAAAAATAGTTATAATTTTTATTAGTGTATTTTTTATAATTTTAGATTTGATCTTGAGTCATAGATTTCATATTTTAATGGTGACATCTGACTACAATCGTTGCTTCTAGTGAAAACTGATTTTAACATTAGATACTTAGCCAAAATGTGTAGCAAGTGCATTTTGAAGATTATACAAAAATGCAGCACTGTGAAGTTAAATGAAGTATAAAGGAAATGTAACTGTGGGTCACATAAGGATGACATTTTTCTGAATTCATAACAAATAATCTTCAGTTCAGAAATACACATTTTATAATTTATATTTTTAATCAGCCCCCAAATATTTATTGAACACTTATACTAGTCCAAGCAATAATTGTGTTAGACACAATGGAGCATATAAAAGAAATAGTATTTCTTATATATATCCTGTAATGCTTTTAAAAAGTGAATTTTCTTTGTGCTTATATGGCAAAACAATAGTCTCCTAGATAGTTTGGAGAAGCTTTGATTTACAAGAGAAACAGGAAGATGGAAAAACAAACTCGGAATGTGGTGTGTATGTAAAAATCTACTTCCACCTCAGACACTCAGATATTGAGGAAATAACAGAGTTTACTCTCTGGAAGTTACAACCTTACCATCGATGTTAAATTATATATTTTGAAAGGTACAATAAATTGGGAAGCTATCAAATTATGTAGGATGTAAAACCTTGATAAATTCATATGATATTTACAGCTTTGAGAGGAATGTAATGAATTTGCTGAAATTCTTTTCCATCAAACCAAATCATCAGAGGCCAAGGACTAATGAGATCATACTCCTTTTAGAAATAATTTCCAATAAAATAAACTGATTAAGTGCAAATTACTGAATTCACAGCCTAAGTCTCAAAACAAAAACAAAAATAAAACTCAGATAGACCAGTGATACAATAATAATTTGCTTAATTTAACTTGGAAAGATGTAACTTGAAAGCCACAAAATAAACATGTTTTTCACTGTAAAAATCTATTTTCTCTATTATTTTGCTTATATAAATGAACCATTTTCTAAATATCAGAACTATTTTGGGGATCAAAAGGAAAGATTTATAAAAACCTTGATATGGAAACATAGAAATTCTACTCCTTGAGAACACTTCTCTCAGCATTGGAGAAAATGAAAAAGACCCTTTAACAGCCCAGATCAAGGTGAACAACTCTGTAATGGGCCAGATGGTAAATATTTTAGATCATTTCTCTTGCAACTACTCAATTCTGCCCTTCTAGCTCAAAAACAACATCAGGGAACACATAAGCTAACGGCTGTGGCTGTGCTCCTAGTTTATGTGCTCCTACCTAGTTTATGTTCACTGAAATTTCAATTTCCTATAATTTTTACGTATCAAGAACATCTTCTTCTTTTTTTTTTTCCTAAATATTTAAAAAATGCAAAAGCCATTTTTAACTCACAGGCGTTACAGAACCAGGCAGTAGGCTGGATTTGTCTTGGCCTGGATCTTGGGACCTGGATGGCGCAGTGGTGTTTTCAAAACAAGAGGACTAGTTAATGGGGAGGAGAAGGAAGGTTGGGAAGTTTAGATTTTTATATTGGAAAATACATTTATTTTGAATGTTGCTAAATTTTGCCACTAATGAATAAATCTATTCTAAAACATTCTAAACACAATCTGTTTTACTTTTACATTTGATTTGCAAATTGTTTTTCTTGAGGCTTAATGTGTTATGAATGAGCTTTATTCCAAGAGTACCTGCTCAGGGACCTGTGTATTACTTGATATTTGTTCTGGAATACATGGAAACATTTCAAAACCTTTAACTGTTGAGAGATTTATAGTTGAAAAGTATATTTAATTAGGCCAGTGTATCTTCTTTTTCAAATATGATATATGGGTTCATTGACTATGTTGGAATATCTCCTGATTCAAAGTCAATTAAGCTGACTACACTTATCTCAAATACCAATAGTGTTTGTATTTGGTCATTATGTGATTAAAACATCAATATACTGCTGCTGAACTTTATTCTGACATGGCTAAGTTATTATTTTAGCAGTTTTTATATTATATACAGATTGCACTGATTAAGTAGTCCTGGTAGTGACTAGCATTCATCCTTAGAATTAACTGAATTAATCCAACCTTTCCTGAACAATTTATTTTTATGTAGTTCAAGTGTTTCAGGGACACTGACTCAGAATTGGGTAAGTATCTAGTTATTTCCTGCTAAATGTTAAGAATGCCTTACTCATAATGCTGTTTACTTTGTATTTAAAAAAAAAAAAAAAGAATGACTTACATCCTCGGAATAGGAAATAGATTAGCTTCCCCGGCAGTGCTGCTGCTTCCTTCACTGTCCACGCTATACCCACTGCCAAAGCTGCTGCCCGAGGAGCCGGTGGACACGGAGCTTTCTGCAGGCCGGTGATTGGTAGGCTTTGCTGCATGGTGTGGGAAGAGTCAACACCACAGTCAATAATTGAAGCTCACGTTGATCTCTAAATGCATAATTAGATGTTCTTTAAATGTACATGTATAAAGAAACAGCTGTCGCCAGAACTCTACATTATTTGACCTGTCTTTCACTTTCATTTCTTTAGCCAATAATGCACAGTGGCAACTAAATGACTTTACTGTTTTAATGAGACACCAAAGAAAAAACAATCACTTCTAGGGAGAAACGATCTAATTTTTAGACTGAGTATAATAGTGTGAAACTATTCTATTACTATTATTTTTGTGGATTATTTGTCCAGTATTGCAATTTTATAACAATAAGAGTTTTGGCTATGACATGGGGAAAAGACTTTTAGAAAGAATAGGATAGATAGAAATAGCAGGATAAAAGGAACTGCTTAATTATTTCCATATTAATAACCAATAATCTATTTTTCTCCTTAGAAGTGCAAAATAGAATAGCTAATTTCAAGATGTAATTGAAAAGTCCATGCTTGTCTGTACGTAGCTCTACCAACTATTTCAGCAGTAAAATATTTAAAGATATTTGTTTTTCCTTAGGCATTTCCTACTTTATGATGGGACCTATTTTAAAAATTTTATGGTTGATTTTGGATATAAGAATCCATATTCCCATAGAAACATTATACATTTGTGCTATAAATTATGCAGTAGGGGTATAGTACTAATATTGTTAGCAGAGTTCTAGATTTCTAGAAGATTTGGGAGGAAATTTTGAAAGGCAAGTGTTTTCTCTTATTTTGTGGAGATGTTTCTCCAGCAAGTTTTTGAAACGGTTATTTGCCTCTGCCAGCGAGCTTGAGCTTTGGTCATAAGTGATCTGGTTTTAAATTCCAATCCGCTCTGTAGTAACTCTCAGTTTTCTTATTTGAAAACAGGGTCAGTAACGACTGTCTCACAAGACTGTGATTATTAGGAGTGAGATGAAGCGGGAGCCCTGTGACTCGCTCCCCTTCTCCTGTGATATTCGTCGCCATATCCCCACCTCTTCTTCAGAGCTTTACTGTCAGGGGCTGTGTCTTGAGCTGACATAGTTCTTGACAATGAATTTACCTCAATTATCTTCTAAATATAGACGTGTTCTGAGTCACAAAACTATTTAGAATTTCTCTTCTCCATGAGTACATCCCTGTTACATCAGGAGTTTCTTATCCAGTTGAATACGATATTTATACTCCTGGGTAAACAGTTGATAATCATTTTATGAACATTTCAGATCTACATATTTCTTAAGGAAATGTATGAAAATACAATGATTATTAATCTGATGAAACTTTAATCAATATAACCAAATGAAATGAAAAATATAGACACTGTGTGGGGAACCATTTGAGAACAGGAAACCCACCATGAGGGTAGCTAGGATCAAGTCTTGCAAAAGATTTAGCTTTTCTGCTACTTTTTCTCTTCTTCCATTTCAGCCATAGTGGATTCTCTAAAGCTACTAGGAATTTTTATATTTAGTTCAATGACAATAGGATCTCTTCCCAGGATAGGAAAGAGGTAAGAAATTTTTAATAATTAGTCAATTGTTTATCAGGTGTCTATAATTTAATAGCTATTTAGAATAAGGTCTGAATGCTGTTAAATAGCCATAGGAATAGGTTTGAGGAAACAGAATAGTTATAATGTTTAATATTTTCTTCAACTTATGTAGAAGAAACCCAGATTTAATGTTAAAGAAAAGACTTTTTAAAAGGATAATTTTAAAAATATAAAGGAATATGACTAGGATATAAAACTATGAACATGTATAAAGTAGATTAAATTACATAATCAACCATATAATGAGTCAGATTAGTTAATTGATTGTAAACAAAGGAACGCTGTCATACTTTTTTTTTTTTTTTTTGTCTTTTTTCGTGTCCGGCAATGGATCGCAACCCTCAGTGTCACGCCTGTACCGGACCGGGACCGGCAACGGGATCGCAACCCTCAGTGTCGCACCTGCACCTCGCTCAGCCAGTGAGCGGGAACCGGTCTGTATGTGGGATCCGAACCCTCGGCAGGAGCGCCGTCGCGCTCCCAAGCGGCGCACTGTAGCAGTGCGCCACCGGGCCAGCCCCCTGATTGGTATTATATAATCCAGCTAACTAGATCGTTAATACTTTTTAGTATGACATTAAATGCAAAACATTAATTTCAGCAACTGGGAAATCTTATACTATTTTCAAACACAAAACTTAATTAATAGACATTAATTTTTAATTGATTTGTCTTTCCTAGTTTAAAATAACTTTTATCCAAGAGCAACCTCACAATGCATCAGAATAGCTACATTAAAGAAATATCTTGATATTTCAAAATACCCAATATTCATTTTGAAATATTCAATCTGTTTTTTTTTTCTTTTTTTAGCCAACTTTGGTTTTACTTGATGCAATTTCTAGTCCTATTTTTCTTCTGGGAAATTTGAGAAATGTGTACAGAATGTAAAACAGCATAAGAAGAAGAAAGGAACAAAGCTAGAAATAAATTTAGGGGAAGACAGATTTTTTTTTTTTGTTTTGTTTCTTTTTGTTTTTTATATCTTGCTTATTTCCCTGAATAGAAATTTCATTTGAAAAGCCTGTGCAAGTGTTGTCAATATTTTAAATGCAAACAAATAGCATTTTATAAGTAGCATAAAAAGGAATAAAACCAATCCGGGGAACATATGCGCTTAATGGAACAAGTCTAAGCCTATCTAACATCTTTGCAAAACAAGATTTATATCTAAGGTTAAGTCTACAGAAATTTAGGCAGTTAGAAGTTAGGTGAATAATTCAAATGAATCTAGATGTTTGGTGTTATCATAAAAAAATGTCTGGTGCCCAAATGAATTTTTAAATTCTTAACCTGGTATGTAAATGTAGTGTAGAGATAAAGAGCCTGACATTTGGTTAGTTTCTGAAAATGAATTAAATTAAAATGCAGAATGGACCTTCCCTTTTTACAGAGCTATACTTACATAACAGAAAATGTGATAAAATATACAAAAATGCAAGGCTTTGATAAGCTGGTGCTAAGAATCTAAGTATTTTAATACCGTCTGAAGTTCTTTTCTAGATACTTGAAATGATACGTGTATTTATTAACTTCTTCCTATTGAAACAGACCCCAAATAAGAAAGCATCAGTTCTATTAAATTGAGCTAAATCTGCACTAATGCAAACTTTTTTTTAACAAGTACAGTGCTTTCAGCACTTAAAATCAGAGGCTGGATCTGTAACTTCAAGACATCTAATTCTTTAGTTTGTCTCTCAGAGTCATTGGTCTGCTCTTTTCCAAATTTATCTCCCATAATTCTCCTTCATATACTTTACATATAAGCCCACTCAGACCGTTCATTCTGGCTCCCTTTGGTCTGGCTTTGTTCTTTTCAACTTTATTCCCTCCTCTCTTCCTTCACTTTCTTGTACCTAAATTATCCCAAAGGCCCAGCTTAAATATCACCTGCTTCATGCATGTATCTTTTATGGCAATTGTCACTTTTTATTTTGGATCGTAGTTGTTACATGCATGTCCTTATTGGAAGCAGAGCCTGTGTTTGCTCCTTGGTAACCTCCTTCAGAGCTAGTTTTGGAACCATGCATGCTCAAGCAATACTGAATGAATGAATGAATGAATGAATGAATGAATGAATGATAATAATAACACATTAGTACTTATTTCTTTTAACCAAACAACCAAAACATCTGAATGATTTACTATGTTTTTTACTTTTTATCCAGCTGTGTGTTTTATACAAATCATAAATTTCTCATCAGTAAAACAATTTGATATGGAAGAGTTTTTTGTTGTTGTTGTTTTTCATTTCTTTGTCAAAGAAACTTTGGGAAATCAAAAAATTTTTTTTGGCTAGAAATAACTTTAATCTGTCATACCGTGTAGAAAAAATGTGATCACTTAACTAAACTGTTGAAGAAAATACTTTAAAACATTTAAATTAATATGATCTTCCATAATTTTGTGATTTCCAAATTAACAATTTTAAAATATTTTACCTTTGCTTTATTCTCCCAAATTTTAAAATAAGAGTTTCAGAAATCATGGACCTACTATGAATAAATGTATCATGCAGCTGTGTATTACATATGAAAAATGTTTATTTTTACAGAAGAATTGACCATTATTTTTAATAATAAAACATATTTTTGGAGACATTTTTTATGAGTTACATTTTTTGTGTGTGTTTACTTTCTTTTTGAAATAGTAATACTTTCTTTTTGAAATAAAAAACTCCTCAAGTACCAACTAGAGGAAAGAGTGGATAATGGAATAAGCTCACACCTGTAGAGGGAGTCCCTGTGCCCCAGAAGAATAAATCTTGGAATGTTGAATCATTTCTGTGACTCAGTTATTGAAGGGGCATTTCAGGTAAACAAATCTTATCTTCTGTGAGGCAAATTCAATCTGTTTTAAATTATTCTTTGACTTCTTCATTTTCTATGGCTGTTAGGTGGTTAGACATCCTTGTGTTTTATCACTCCACTGTGGCTAACCTTAATTAAATCGGATAGTGTCTCTTTGTCTGCACACCTGTCTTCAATTAGTTTGCTTTGTTCATTTTTCCCCCTCTGCAATACAGTACTTCAATATACAAATCTATCACTGTACCTACCACATGATGGCAGCACTGTGCTCAGAGTCCACGGATCAAATTGTAGATGACTTTATAATTGTAGAATCATGGAAATTAAGAGCTGGTAAGAACTCTAAAGATAACCTGCTCCAGAACCATCATTTTGCCTAAAAAAAACCCCTAAGCACTATAAATATTAAGTGACGTTTTCCATGTCATACAGTAATTAATGAGAGAAAGAGAGAATTAAAACTAAAAAGTGTTAATCCACTCTTCTATCACATCCAGTTGTCTCCAATTAAAAAGGTGAGGTCTCTGCTACCTCAGAATTCAGTGTTTGGGATGTATACATACATAGCCTTGCAGCCTGTAATCTTCTGTCATTGGTTTTATGGTTTT